CATCCGAGGTCTCGGCAGCCATTGTGACCCAAGGTGTCGTCCCTTTCCATACTGGAGCCTCGCGATTCGAACAGCCTAGGATGGCGCGAACGATGACACCACTTTTCGGACCCTCGTCGCGTTTGGGTATGTCCACAGCAAGTACGAGGCGTGGGAAGTGTGCCAAGCTACGCACAATCTTCTGACCGAATGGCGGATTTCGGGAGAGCACCCTCTCGATGTGAAAGAAGTCCATCTCAGCAAGCCGGCGTATGGTTCTGATGCCATGCTCGACGAGCGTAATCATCTTTTTCGGCCCAATATCGGGTACCTGAAGTAGCTCCGTCGCCAGCCCCTCCTAGCTTTTGGACACGACGGCACGCCAGGTCTCGAGGGAGCGCCTCAGGCCGACAGCGTCTTTGCGGCAACCCATGATGTCGGCGCAGGCACGCAGAACCTGACCCAGGATCTTTACTATGCGGGATTTGTCGGACAAGAGCTTCTGCCGGGCCTTGAGGGAGAGGCGGTCGCCGTAGTCTCCGCCCGAGGCTTCGCATTGGGCGACGAGGAAGACCTTGTGCCAGGGCTCAGTCAGGGTCTCTTTCAGGGGCCAGCGGGTTGAAGGATCGTTGTTGATGTGGGAGAAGGCAACCTTTTCCAAAGGATTGAAGGTGAAGGAGAGGAATTCTGTTGCGGAAGAGGCACGACGGAGGATCTCTCCGGGAGGTGGGCCGCGGGGAAGGGAAGCAAGTGCTCGGATTGTCGGAGAGGAGAGTGCGTGACGAAGCATGATTGCATGGTGCTCTGGTGAGAGATCTGCTCTTGTTTTGGGGTTCTTTGAGGCCTGTGTGCTTTGCGAGGGTCGAGAAGCTGGTGTCGAAGACTGAGATTGAGAATGAGGAACCTTGGATGGTGTTGGATTAGGGGTAAGGAGGGGAGGCATCGTGAACGATTGACTTCTTGCTATCGCAGCCCAGCACGCTTGGATTTGCTACCTTATGGAGGCAGAATTGGAACCGAGTTGAAGAATGACATTGAATTGAGGGGATGAAGGGAGAGGGAAGAATTGAAAGGCACCCGACCAAGTCCTTGATCCTGAGACGATTCTGGAAGGAAACCCAGCATCCCTCCTTCCCCGAGCATTCGAGGATCTGTAGCTGCCCAGGTAGGTACCAAAGACTTATGGTGATGATGAGGCAGGTGTGATCTTCCCATCTTCAGGCTGCCTCCTCACGTGGTACTTACCTACCTTACCTTAGGTAAGGTAGTGTGGTACCTAGGTATTTCGAGGATCACATTACCTACACACAAGGAGTGTTACTTCCTTCTACACCGAAGATAAGTCTCGCAATGCGACTGATTCGAATCACAACTACGGAAAAAGGAAGTTGTCAGCCTCTCACGGAGTAACACGATGCCCGCTTACACTTTAGCACAGCATAATGGTAACATTCGTCCGCCAGAGCCTTGCTTACCTACCTTTCCCATCCTATCTTACATCAAAGGTTACCTTCCTACGACGCAAGTAAGCCAGGTAGCACAACATTTTCCTCCATGCACTTTTGCTCAAGTGCAAAGTAAGGTAGGCGCCAAAGACTCTAGTGGGGAAACGGGACTGGCCGGGGCTCAGCCGGCACTTGCGTTCTGCGGCCCGGGTTGACGCCGGCAGTCTCCGCAGTTGGAGTGGGTCCTCAGTAAGGTACCGCTACCTGAAGTTCTGCACCTTATTCAGCTCTCCCTTGCCCAGCTGAACTACGCTCTGACTGGCTTGACGGGCGTGACGTGACTGGTTCGGTGACTTGTTTCCTATCTGGAAAGAATCGTCAGTTAAGCCATTTGTCTGGCCCGCAGGGTCTCGCACCCAAATGTCAAGCGACGAAGCTTTACCTTGCACATTCAAGGTTTTGTGAGACGGGGAGAATGACGTCGAGTGACACATACACCAAGATAGTGGACCCGAGTGAGACAGGGCGTAGGTATCCAATTCGTGCAACGGCATGTAAGTCAACAAATGCGACGCCACAACAAACGCTCCGGGGAGCTTTCAGCCTTCGGAAAAGCTTTTCTTGATCTGCCGTCTCGCCTTCCCATCGACTCCTCTGACTTGTGCCACATTCCTGCCTCGTTTACCAAGTTACACGTCCCCTGGACATGAACACCTGGTCACGGCATGTGGGTGGCACCCGCTGCGCCCCAGTCCCGCGCCTACCTAAGGTACCTAAGGTAGGTATCTGGAGCTCTTATCTTATCGGTACCTTGGTCGTCATCTGAGGTGGTCGCTTTCGCATTGTTTGTCATTGCTTCCATTACGTTGCTTCAACTCCGGCTCTTTGCTCCTTGACATATGTACCTTTCGCACCTTGCGAATATGGCATTCAAGCCACCAGTGACAACTTGAATACAAGATTATTTGGTCTCTCCGGGTAAAGACACCTTCTCGACCCCGCGACTTACGTAGAAAAGCCCATGATGGATTCGTGATGGAGAAGTGGGTTGTCCGATGTGAAGAGGGGTACCAATAGCTCACGAATGCCGACCCCATTGGGACAGCTCTGGTCCCCCGTCACGCAATCACATTGGCCTTCGGACGACAGCTGTATCGCTATGTCTTGGCCTTCTCCGTTCTGATAGGGCCAGGCAAAGCTGCCAGCGATAAGACAACAAGTCCCAGGAAGGTTGCATTGCATGGCTGCCTCTTCAAGGCTGAGCAACAACACCAACTGGCGCATACAGACAGACAACTGGATCCAATCCCCAAACTTGGAAACCTGCACTTGCCTCATTTCCAGCCCGCGTTTTCAGCAAGTCTCAAAGTGATACACGGCAGGCAACAGAAAGGCAGGCAGACACCAGTCCACCTTTCCTCACCTTCATCCCCCCTCAACTCCTCACCGAGCTATTGCCCATAAGAGGCCACCCCCCCGACGTCCTCGATACCATCTTCTCTTCTTCTTACATCCTCACTCAACCTTCAACATCTCACACTTCTCTTGATATCCTCGCAACTTCAATTTCACAGCCTCTACCAGAGTCTTCTCGTCAAGACATTCACCGAATATTCTGTCTTTCCACACCAACTCTGATACTACCTAGTCATTCATCATGGCCGATCACGTGTGCTACGTCGTGCCTCCACACCTGCTCAAGGCCATCGCCGACGCCGAGTGCAATAGCGAGCATACGCGTCATGCTGCGAGACAGGCTTTGAGCCTTCGCGAGCAGTTCACTACCCGTCGTGCCGAGCGCCTCGCCATTCTTGGTGGTCCCCGCGCCCAGCGTCACCAGCTCTCCTCCCACTCCCGCCCTTCCATCGTCCCTGATATCTTGCTCCAGCACATTGCCGATTCAACGGACGTCGACGATGACACCAGAGCCTGTGCCAAGAGGGATCTTGACCACATAAGAGGTGTTCAGCAAAAGGTCCAGCAGGTTCAGCAGGGTGAAGTCGGAGGTCCACAGGACCAGGTCACCCTCGCTGCCACTGCCGGTAAGAAGGACGACAAGTTCTACCGGGCTATCTATGACGCCAAGAACACCGAGAACGAGAGCAAGTTGCCTGGTGATGTGGTTCGTGTAGAGGGCCAAAAGGCTGTCGACGACAAGGCAGTCAATGACGCTTTTGACAATGTTGGCGAGGTACTGAAGATGTACAAGGAAAAGTTCAACTGGATTTCCATCGACAACAAGAACATGCATGTCATCAGCTCGGTCCACTTCGGTCAGAAATACGAGAACGCATGTAAGTACTATTTTCCTCTGTTCATCTGGAACTTCTAGGACTGTACTGACAGTAAACGACAGTCTGGGATCCAGAGCGTATGCAGATGGTGTTCGGAGACGGCGGAGAGTTCCTGAGTAACTTCACTGGAACCATCGACGTCATCGGCCACGAACTCACCCACGCTGTGACTGAGCACACCAGTCCCCTCGACTACCAGGGAATGAGCGGAGCTCTCAATGAGCACGTTTCCGACGTTTTCGGCATCATCGTGAAGCAGATTGTCGAAAAGGAGGATGCCGGTCAGTGGAAAGTGCCCATCACGGGGGTGACATTACTGACAACCATAATAGAGAGAGCCGACTGGCTCATTGGCGAAGGCTGCATCATGCCCGGTGTCAAGGGTGTTGCTCTCAGGAGCATGAAGGAACCTGGCACTGCCTATGACGACCCGCGATTCGGAAAGGATCCTCAGCCAGCTCATTTCAAGGACTACGTTCCGACTTTCGAGGATAACGGCGGTGTCCACATCTACTCAGGCATTCCGAACAAGGCTTTCTATCTTGCGGCGAAGGGCTTTGGTGGTTTCTCGTACGAGAAGGCTGGTCCCATCTGGTGGAAGACTATGAACTCGGGCCGTGTTCCTCCCAAGTGCACGTTCATCCAGTTTGCCGATGTGACAACGGAGATCGCAGAGGAGCTGTATGGAGACGAGGCAGGCAAGATCGTGAGGGATGCCTGGAACGAGGTCGGCGTGACCAGAAAGGGCAATTAGGAACCGAAGCTGCCACCTGGCTGCAAGCCCATGTAATGGGGTGTTGGGGACAGTTTTTCCAGTCTTTCCAATGAGTGACCCACGAGTATGTCTACGTAGGAACAGAGTTACCTAGAAACCTATCAGAATCGATTTCTCGCTCTGCTGCACCAAGTCCTTTGACTACCATGGTTCCCTTGGGTGATATGGTTGAATCAAGCCACAAGATGCCGGCCGGTGTTTGGAGAATAACCATCAATGTAAGATTAATCATTCTGCCCCTTTATTATTCGTCGCCACCGAGGCAGAGAAACGTTTAATGACCGTCACGTTCACGTTGCATCTGGAAAATAAGAGTGTGTTGAAACCGGCAACTTGTATCTACAGAACCAGGTGGCCAAGGGCCTTGTCTGATGCCTTGAGAGAGAAAAGTATTTACATGAATTCCGTACTTCTTCCTAGTACTTTCCAGTCGGGGACACAAACATCCCACGGCCGGCAGCGCTGATTGCAGCAATTCTCACACCACTATTAAGGACAACTAGTAACTTAGAAGGAAAGGGTCTGGCCGGCGGAGGCGACGACGGAGGCCTTGACCTTGGCAGAGCCGAGCTTGGAGTAGGAGTAGTCGGGCTTGGTGAAGGTGCCGGCAGGGGCGTCGTTGGTGGAGCCACCGAGGTCGACGTCGGAGACGGTAGCGTAGCCGGTGGTCTTGGAGTCGAGGAAGGTGATGGCCTTCTTGACGGAGGAGAAGACGGAGGACTCGACGAGGACCTGGGCGCCCATGCGGGTGTTGACACCGGAGGTGTCAATGCTCTCCTCGTAGTTGTTGAAGATGTGGACGTTTCCGAAGCGGACGGAGGGGACACGGGAGCCGATGTTCTTCCAGTAGTTGTTGGCGTAGGTGACGTAGAGCTTGCCAGTGTCCTCGGCCGAGTTGGAGTCGGAGTGGCCGACGAGGGAGCCCTTGTAGTGGTCGTGGAGGTAGGTGTTGGAGACGGTCACGGCCATGGAGGCGTGGGTGATGTCGAGGAGACCGTCGTAGTAGTCCTTGCCGTTGTCACGGTCGGAGGAGAGCTCGCAGTGGTCGACCCAGACCTTGGAGGAGGCCTGGATGCCGATGGCGTCGCCGTTATCCGCGAGGACCTTGCTGATCTTCATGTTGCGGACGATGACGTTCTCCTGCTTGTTGATGTACAGACCGACGCCGGTGAGGGAGGAGCCCTTGGCACCGATGATGGACTTGTTGGAGCCGACCTTGACCTTGGCGGCGCCGGTGATGGCGCCCTTGACGACGATGACGGCCTTGTCGGAGGAGGTGGCGGCCGCGGTGAACTGGGCCAGGGTGGAGACGGTGGTGGTGGTACCGCCGGAGCCACCAGTGGTGCCGGCGCCGTAGCCGACGTCGCAGGCGTCAGTGATGGTGGCGCGCTTCTCGACGGCACGGGGGTCGACGGCGTTGCCGCCGACGACGGTGGGAGTCGGGGTGGCGTTGGCCAGAGCGGCCAGGACGGCGATGGAGGAGGCAATAGAGAACTTCATCTTGACTTCTTTTCGTTAATAAGCTGGGGTGCTAGTTGTGTGGTTGGTTGATAGTGGTTGTAATAGAGAATGGGGTTGACGGTCTACGTCGAACGAAGGTATTGACAGTGAGGTTACTGAGAGAACGAATGCAAAGAGCGCGAAAGAGCTGAAGGACTGAAGAAGTTGGAAGTGAAGCGGGATGGAGATCGAAAGGACAAGTGAGTATGAGGGCCGGAGGAGGATGGTTCTTAAGTATTCAGAGCCAAGACATCTCTTGGCTAAGCTTCTGTTGCCAAGGGCCAAGACCCTTTCCTTTGGGCTCTTCTGGAGAAACTCGAGCAGGCCTTGTCCTGCAGACTGCAGTACTGTTCATCTCTTCCTTCTCTGGTCCAGTCTGGGAGACTCCCGGAAGGGGGGTGATGGCTTGCGTACGCGTGCGCATCTTGGCATATCCCTGGTCTTGGCGAGGATCATGGTGGTATTGAAGGCTACGAGCGGGACCCAGGCCGAGCAGTAAGGTAAGGTAGGAGGAGGCTCTCGACGCTTTGGGGCTTGGCACTTGCGTGGTGCCTTGCCTGGGCCTGGACAGGCTGGGCCACATGTTGGGAGGTCCTTGGCGGAGAGAGAGAGTCGTGATGGGTGCACTCGTGGGTGGAGAAACATCAAGAGAAGGGGAGGGGGGAGGGGTGTATGTCTGGGTGGGCTTTGGTATACAGAGACCACGGGATAGAGTACATTCATTGATCACTCTGCTCATCGCGTCAGGCGCAGGGGTTGATGGAGAAGGTTGGCGGTACGAAATACACTACGGATACATAGGGCGGGAAAGGGACAAAACACGAGAGAGCGTGTAGTATATTGGACATCAACCTGAAAAGGAAGCAGTGGGCAGAGTAGAAGACCCAAGAAGGTACATGCCGGTTGCTGGCAGCATGAAGCACGGGCGGTCCAATGTCACGGTGGCAGTGAAGCGGTACCCGGGGCCCGCGATCTCGAACTTGGAAATCGCACGAATAGACGGGACGGAAAGCCTAAAAGAGGTCGACCATGTGGTGTCACTGCTGTGCGTGGTGGTGGGCGTGGTACGAGCTGAGAGATGGTGGTTCGTTTGTCTAGGAGAAACGCAGGCCAGGAGGTGTTTGGTCGATATTCCGCCAAGACACGAACTAAGCCAGTAAGAGCGAGTTGACGTTTGGAAACGAGCCAGGGTATATAGAGGGATGTGGGCTTCGAAATGAAGCCAGGGGATGATTGATGGGATGAAAAAAAAGAAGAAGGGCGGACGACATGTGGCAGGGGTGGTGTGGAGAGCAAGTGAATATGGAGCCATGATGGAGGGAGTCCGAGAACATGGGATGGGTTGTAAGTATCATTGTGAGGAGAACACGGATAGACTAGAAGGATTTCAATGATGATTCCTTTTCTTCCGTATGATCTAGTGATCCACGGAAAACTTTTCGGCTCTTCCTACTCACGGATCAGATCACGGCAAAAGGAGGGTGACGGGGGCCACTGGGCATCGGATCAGGCCCAGTACCGTGGGTGGAGTTGTCAGCCATCGGAAGAAAGAGCCTCAATACTGGTTCCCCGGGGACGACGTCAGTTACCCGGGTCCAGGGCATCAAGTCAGTATTTTCGGACAAAAGCAGAAGAAGAAAACGCACTCGAGGCCTCCGTACGGAGTAGATGGGTCCCTTCAATTACGGCAGTCGCTCAATAGTGTGGGATGAGCAAGTTCTGGGTCCGAAAGGGGGGATGGAGGCAGAAAAAATCACACGAACAGAAAAAAAACACGTGAATAGGTGAGCAGAATTCCGGGACCTCCCCTCATATTCTGCAGGTTTGCGGACGCGGTTACAAATTTTCCTCCTAGGTTTTTCCCAGATGAATTCACCGACGGAGTTGAACAACAAGCAACTCCCACTTACCGCAGGGTCCAGTTGTTTAATCGATTTGGTGTATTCCGGGAATGGACAGAAGAAGACCGTCAGACGAGGGCGCTAGCTGGAATGAGGAAGTCATGTCGTCTAGTTGTCAAGGGCTTGAAGGCGCCAGGGGAGGGGGCGTGTGGTCGTTCACGTTGGTTTCCTTTTTCGTCCTATTGTTCCCACGTTCGGGGGCAGACCCGTCGGCCGGAGGCCGGAGGATGGACCGTAGGCAAGATGGAGACTGGAGAGAAGGAATTCTGGGTCGTTGTCGTTGTCGTTGGGTCGGCGGCTCGGGGGTCAACCCACCGGGGTTGAGGGTGTCAGGGATACAGAACGGGAATGGCTCAAGTGGGGTTCATGGTCCCGGCGTATATTAAATTTAGAATCAGGTAGAGTTGTGGGGGCAAGGATCTGTCTCAGATAAGGTATTTCTCCGTCACCTAGCGTCAAGTCGTGGCGAGCTTGACTCTTCACTTCAGTATCGACTCTTGACTCTTGAGTGTTGTTACGCGGAAGCTCTCACGGCAGCTCACAGAGTCGTGTCATGCTGGTGGCGCTTCACAACTAGCCAACTCCCTGACAGCTTCGAAAGGCTTTACGCCGGTACTATCTAAGCACCAAGAGCACTTCAGCCAACACATGACACTGGCAGATGGAGTTCGTCCCTGCGCCTTATGCCCGGGCCATCTCAGAGCTTCAGGTTCAGGTTGTCGCACCAGTTAGAACGCCTCTCTCTCTTTCTCTGCATAGTCTGCGGCGAGGATGCGTGGGATATGCAGGCTGTCACTCCCGTCATTCAACTGCCAGATTGTCAGCCAACCCTGTCCGCCGGAGCGTGGCGCTTATTGTCCGCAGCAGCCCGCATTTACGCAAGCACTGCAAGCAAGGCCTACGGAATGCCCAGTTGGGATACACTCCCCCGCTTCCTTTTTCTGCCTGCCACGCTTGCTCAGCACTGCCAGCAGACAGGCCAGCAGTTTTGTGACTCGTCGTCAGTGGTCACAGCAGGCTATTCCGTACTGAGAGTCGGAGACATGCAGGTTCTGCCTCCCTGAATCAACCAGATCGTGGAGAACACGGTGGAGCTCTTCACGGGATTACAGGAGATTTTTCTTTGCTCCTCCGCCCCCTTTTACCCCCTTCTTGGGTGCTGCTAGGTCAACTGATCTTGCTGGAGAAAAGAAAGCGCGGAGACCTGTCAGGCACTGAACTGCCGGGCCTAACCTCCATAGAAGACATCGGACTGTGGGAAAGCTTGATGTCGTGAAATGTGTGCCGGAGCCGAAGACCAGCAACCCGGACTTGGTTCCCGGATCTCAATATCATTATTTGGGTTTACTATTCCTCTTGGTAGGTGCATCGAACTGCTTCGACAGCTATGAGTCAATAGCAATTGAGTTCAGCAAAGCCAGAGAAACACCAGCAGCCAAGTTTTCTTGCTTCCTCTTCCCGGGCCTGGGCACTGGCCTTGTCGGACGCGCAGGCTGCAGCTGGGGCCCTCGGTTTGCTTGGCGTGTTCCGCACCATTGGGGTGTACGCACCCCTATTTTCCATTGTCTCTCGCCACGGTTTGTTAATATGGTCAACAGTCCTGTTTCAACATCGAGTTGTCGGACATGGGCGGCGCGGAGATTGGTGTAGGAAAGTCGCATATTGCACAATACTTTTATTGAGTACCAAGCCTTTTTGATTTCGAGAACGAACCCCAGGGAGAAGGGTTGCGTGGCCTGGGCTTTCTCGAGGTCTTGGGACTTTGGAAAGCGGCAGAGGAATGTCACCTCTTTTTCTTGGCTTTCGCGGTGCTAGTTTGGGACATGTACGAATAGGTTATGCCAACTATCGCTCTCAGTATCTGGGGTTGTCCTGCTGAGCTCTTGTGGTCCATCCTATTGCGGCAGTATAACAGCCTACTAATAGCCGTTCGTTCCGTTCTCCGATGCTTATTTTGACCATTGCCGTATGTGATCTGAATCTCTTCGTCTCTGGAAGCCGTCCGTTCCGTTTTCCCGATGCTTATTCTACGGCTCTACCGATGTCGTCTTCTTCCCCGGCGCCTACCTTAAATTTCTAGCGCCCCGAAACCTTGAATGTCGGTTCTTTTGACTTTCATGTTTTGGCGCTGGAGCTGCCAATTTTGGAACGGAATGGAAGTCGTCGGCGCGTACCCGGATCGTTCCCTGAAATGGATTTTGCTGCTGCGGGCTCCCCCTGACACTGGACGGGGTCGAGGCGTGTGTCCATCTCGAAAAGAAGATGGGACCCCTTACGTCGGGAGGGTCTTCATAGCAGTCCCTCACCCTCGGATGGGCGCAACAGCACACGGACCCAGGTCAAGTTGAACCCCACCGGCCGATCCTGACCGCTGGACACGGCGGCGTACTTCGGACGATGGACAGGCCGATGTTCTTCGGGGAATCGGGGTGTAGTTTTTGGTTGCACTGAACAGTGACCGGTGACCTGGAGTTGTTGTATTTGGTCGTGTGGTTGCTCAATGCCCCAAGCCGGTGGGAGGTTTCTCTCTACTGCATCGTTCGGACTCAGAGTCCACGAATAAGAATAAGGTCGCCAGAATAGTGTAAAGCAAGGCAGATCATGGATGTGCACTACTACGGACAAGAATAGGGCCACCAGTCAGAACATTGTATATTGACGTAGAGTGGTAGAGTGGTAGACGTGTTGGTGAAACTTGCGTAGATTGTTGCTCATTGGCGACTCAATAAAAACTCCACACCCCCTCTGAGCTCCTTTATTCACGTATCCAGCAATCATTTGCGTTTCCATGCGCCGCCCTGGTCTCATGGTCTGAGCCCTGCACAATGTGACAATATATCTTTAACAGTATCTGTATTCGTACCTTGATCTTTATGTGAGGTGGTACAGCGATGAGGTAGACATTCAAAAATTGCTGTGCTACCTACCATTGATGGGAAACCCAAAACGTGCCTAATTAACCTCATGCTCCCATCCCCCCTCTTTCTTGTAACTTTGTAAGCCAAACCCACACCGATCAGCGCATTTGCCTTCCTTTGGGTGGGATTTCCAAGTCTCCAATACATGCAATTCCCACACCACAATGGCAGTCTCCTGCGCATCGCCGCATAGCATACCTGTAGATGCCATGTTGTCGTTCCCACCACTCACTCAGCCTTCTCACTGTGAATCGACAATGCCAAGAAGCGTTGCCAAGACGGTTATCTCGGAGAGTTGGCAGTTTCCAACCCTGGGCTCCCAAGACTTTTCGATGGGAGTCTTGGAAGAGCCTCCAGAGGCTGCAGAGCGTTAATCTGTCTTGGCTCTGTTGTTTTCCCCTGTATTATTCAAATCTCGGCGTTCAGGAACAGTGGCGACGGCTAATGAAGACGTGCTTCTCTCCCGCTCCCGCGCGCCGCTCATACAGAAAACTTGGCGGGCGGTACGAGCCTGGGTAGAATTTCTTGGTGAGGAAATCAGGCTGGGCGCATTTCAGTGCAACTTCCGCCCATGAGATGATGAGCCTTGAAGAGATTCCGCGGACTCCAGAATTATTGTGTGGAGTTTGCCTCTTTTTTTGGGCCTGTCGATGTCCTCAGAACCGCGGCTTCCTGGGGTGCGAGGCAGAAAGTCTCTCTGCCTTCCATGACTCTCGAGTGCGTAAGTCGTAACACGCATCGCCTGGTTCGTTTTCGCACAATATTTACCTCAAGGTCCATGGTGGAATTTCTGCGCCCGACGAATTCTGTCCTCGTGATGGATGATCCTCACCCCTCCACGAGGAACCTGGAGGTTGGCGCGGCGTATTATCCAATCTTGTTCCTGCATGGCAAACATATTGGTTTTGCCCTCTCCCAGTCTCCACACCTCCGAATCAATTAATTTGTCTAGTTCCATACGACGTTATGCGTGCGCCTTCTTCTTTCAAGTTTCTCGAGGCGGTCAATAACCAAGGTTGGAAGGAGAATATTCATCAAAGACGTGACGGTCGTAAAAGTTCTTAGGGTCGATCGCTCTTTCACATCCCCGGGACCTGTTCCTCCGGCGCAGACGGCCTGCATTTTTCCGCATCGGTGTCGGTCGCCGTCGCCGAAGCGTCTTGGTCGTTTGCATCCTCGTGCATCGTCGACGTGTTATCCAACGACCGTGATCGAGCCTCGGCGTCCGCCGCGGCGAGCTGCTCGCGCTCTTCCATCGTGAGGTCGCTCTTTGCAGAACCGATGCGAACGAGAGCGTAGAGCACCAGCGCGACGGCAGCGACGCCGGTGGCCAGCCAAAAGGCCGCCTGGTAACTCTTCTTGAGCCCCAGGCCGGTCGTCTCGCCGACCACGACGTCGCCGATGCCGAGGAAGAAGCTGATGCCCAGGAACAGGAGGCTGTTGATGAGCGCGCCGGCGAGACCCTGACGGTGGCTGGGCAGGTTGGTCGTGATGAAGACGTTGCTGACCGTGTAAGTAATGTCGATGCCGATTGTGCCACAGATCATGGCGGGGAAGACGTAGGCCCAGTAGTTTGGGTTATCCGGCATGATGGCGAACAGAAGCACGCTCAGGAGGTTGCCCGTGCCCGAGATGGCGAGGAGCACTCTGCCGGGAAGCAGGTGTAGCGTGAAGCCGCCGACGGTGCCGATCATGATGCCGCCGACGATGAGGGGCACGTACCACACAGCCGTCAGCAGCGGCGACTTGTGCAACACCGTCTCAATGTAGAAGCTTGAGTAGAAGAGGAAGAGGCCGAAAGTGCCGTAGGCGAAGAAGAGGGCGGCCACGAGCGTCTTCATGGATTTGGGAGCAAAGAGGTCACCTGGCAGCAGAGGGTTCGCAGATACGCGGCTCTCGACGTACCACGCCGCCACGAGGAAGGCGACGCCCAAAATCAGCGTCACGAGAATCTGGGGGCTCGCCCAGCCCTGGGGCGCGTGTGAGCTGTCGGTGATGGCATAAACCACGAGCAGTAGGCCGGGAACGATGGTCGCGACGCCCCACCAGTCCATGCGGATCTCCTGACGCTTATCACCGTAGTCGTGCGGGATCGTGATGAAAGACACGGCGGCAATGATACCCAGGACGATGCTGCCGAGCCAAAAGTACCAACGCCAGTTGAGGAACTGGCCCGACACGCCGCCGATGAGGATGCCAAAGAAGAAGCCGATGGGCGCAAAGGCACCATACAGGGCAAAGACGAGGTTCTTGCGGGGCCCCGGGCGGTAGATTTTGCCAAGCAGCATGATGCCGGCGGGGAGGTAGGCGGCGGAGCCGAGGCCTTGGAGGGCTCGGCAGACGATGAGCATCATGTAGTTGTTGCTGAAGCCGGCGACGAGGCACCAGACGAAGAACCAGGCAAGGCCGATGTTGAAGGTCAGGTAGCCGCCGTACATGTCACCCAGCCTGCCGAGCGGGAGGAGAAA